GGGAGGTGAAATTAAGAGTTTGCCAGCGTCGGGAACAGAAGCACGGTTTAGACAAACTGCTGTGACGACGAGGGGGTGCTGGTGGTGTGTGGGTGACCGTTTCCCCTGCTAATTGCAAGGTCAGCAGCTTGAACTCCCCAGCCACTCTACGGGAGAACGAGGAGGCTCCCATCAAGATTATGGCCTTGGAACCCAAAGGGGCTGCTCCACTCGGCCCTCCAGGAACCTTGTGAGTTGGAATCGGCAGAATGGCAGTGAGTTACAGGGAGTTTCCACGATCACGGAAACACAGAACTTCAGAGAGGAAGGGAACCCGGGCTCGTCTCTGATCTCTCTGTCCACACACCTTGGACGGTCACATGCACGTAATGGGCGTCCACTGCAAAGTTGTTCACAAGCCACTGTTTGTCCGCGCTGCACTCACGGCTCTCCTCCTTCCAGCCCCACTCTCCTCTTCTCATTTGCTCCAACATTCGTGCCTCCTGCCTGCCTGGAGGCCTGAGCCCAGTGGTTCTCAACCTCCCTTTAATACAGTTTCTCGTGTTGTGGTGACCCCCCAACCACAAAATTATTTTCGTTCTACTTCATAACTGTAAGTTTGCTACTGCTATGAAGCGGGCCACCCCTCTGAAAGGGCCATTTGACCCCCAAAAGGGTCACGGCCCACAGGTTGAGAGCCACTGCCTTAGCCTGTGATCTGCTTTGCTGTGACATACATCAGAAACAGCTCTGAGCTAGACCAGGTCAGTTTTGCCAGAGTAGTAGGTACAGGGAACCCTGGTCATTGTCAGGTAAGCGATGAACTGCTAACAGAACTGCTAATGTCCCGTGGCTAGGCGTTGGCTGTTCAAACCCACCAGCTGCTCAGAGGGAGAAAGATGAGGCTGTGTGTTCCTGTAGAGAGCCATAGCCTCAGAACCCCTATAGAAAGGGGTGGTGTGAGTCAGACTTGGCTCAGCTTCAGTGGGGGTCCCAGATGATATGGCTCCTTTGGCTATGTAGATGGGAAATGTGACGTACAGACTTCCACTCCATCAGGCCCCTCACTCAGGAGGCCACGGGAACATGTGATCCAGGAGCGTACAGATCATGGGGAGGGCAAGCCAAGGAGGGGACTCGGCAACAGCCAGCAGCCAGCCGAAGACGAGAAGCTGCACCAACAAAGTTAAAGAAGTGCTGGAATAAACAGAAGGATCACCGGGGTAATGTCTAAGGAGACAAAGATAAGCCATCCTATCAGCATTGGATCTTGTACTAAGCTCAATGCTGGCAGGGAGGAAACACTTCATAGCTAAATGTCACGTATTCACTTGTTTTACTCATTGATCTTGTCTTTCAGTCCATCACTCCTTCTATTAATATGTGTGCCTTCACTACTACGTGCCAAGTGCTAACAATACAGAGGCAGATAGTCATGACCCTTGCTCCATCATAAAGCTTCATTCTGGGGCAAGGTGGGAGGGCTGAGAAGAACCAATACAATTACAATTAACACCAGGTGGGAATTTTGTTAGGTGCCATAGCCCCGGTCCCGTGTAGTACCGAATGCAGCATCCCCCGTCTTGCACTAGCCTTCCACTTGTTAGGTTCGGGCTCACTGTGGCAGCCACTGCGTCACTCCATCCATCGTGTCCAAGGTCTTCTTTTTTCGCTGCCCTTCTGCTTTACCAAGCATGGGGTCCTTCTCCAGGAACTAGTCTCTCCTGCCATGTCCAAAGCACATGCTTCTAAGGAACATTCTGGCTGTTGCTCTCCCAAGACAGATTTGTTTATTCTTTCGGCAGTCCGTGGTACTTTTAATATTCTTCACCAACCCCATCATTCAAATGCGTTTATTTTTCTTTCATGTTCCTTATTCAATGCCCAACTTTCACATACATATGAGGTGACTGAAAACACCGTTTGGGGTGTGTAGGGATGAAAAACAAACTCACTGCCATTGAGTTGATTCTGACTCATAGCGACCCTATAAGACAGAGTAGAACTGCCCCTGGGGGTTTCTGAGACTGCAACTCTGTATGGGTGTAGAAAGCCTCAGCGTACTTCCTCGGAGAGACTGGTGGTTTTGAACTGCCGGCCTTGTGGTTGGAGCCCAACATGTTACCACTACACCACCATGGATAGATGCTATGAAAATACAACACGTCTCTCTAACCGTAGCGGCCTGAGGTGACCTGCCAAAATGGTTCGCTACTCACTCGACCCAGAAAACCCCACAACATCCTGCAAATCAAGAGGGTCGAACCTCCGGGTCCACTTCAAGAACACCCGTGAAACGGCCCAGGCCGTCAAGGGCATGCACATCCGGAAAGCCACCAAATACTTGAAAGACGTCACTCTGCAGAAGCAGTGTGTGCTCTTCCGCTACAATGGTGGTGCTGGTAGGTGTGCCCAGGCCAAACAGTGGGGTTGGACCCAGCGTTGGTGTCCCAAAAAGAGTGCTGAATTTTTGCTTCACATGCTTAAAAAATGCAGAAAGTCATGCTGAACTGAAGGGTTTAGATGTGGATTCTCTGGTTATTGAGCACATCCAGATGGACAAAGCCCCCAAGATGCGCCGCCGAACTTAGAGAGCTCATGGTGGGATCAACCCATCCATGAGCTCCCCCTGCCACACTGACGTGATCCTGACTGAGAAGGAACAGGTCGTTCCCAAACCAGAAGAGAAGGTTGCACAGAAGAAATAGATCTCCCAGAAGAAACTGAAGAAGCAAAATCTCATGGCTCGGGAATAAATTAAGCTTAAAATAATAAAAAATAAAAGTTAAAAAAAGAGAAAATACAACACATGAGGAGAATAGTTAGATCAGATGGTATTTCCTTTGGAGAGGGTAAATAAGGGAAACCTCTGGTGGAGTGATATGAATAATGGAGAACAATAAGATCAAGTGTAGAGATGTTAGTGGTTGCAATGGTGGTGGTGATGACAATGATGAGGACTTAAAGGGATTGAGTCGATGGTGCCAGGGGAGGGGAGGACGTGGTCAATAGTTCAAATACAGTAGAAATGCCAGAAGAAGAGAGAGACGGATATATTCGTTAGGCTTGAGTTGGTGTTCTGAAAAGCCTAGCAATGAGGGAAAACATGGTCAGGGGAGTAGCTAAAAGTAAAATAATAAAACTTGCAAAAGATCTTCTAGATCAGAGTTTCTCAACCTAGAACTATGGGAATTTTGCGATGGCGGTGGGCTGTGTGTGCTGTGTGGGTGGTGGAGGACTGTCTGTGCGTGGTAAGATGTCCAGCAGCATCCCTGGCTGGTACCCAGGAGATGACAGCGGCATTCACTCCGCCCAAAAAGGTCCCCAGTTGTTGCCAGACATCCCTTGGGAGCAAATATCACCTCCCCTACCCCTTACTGGAGAACCCGTGCTCTAAACGGAAGGAACCTGAACATGGCTGCAAAGGCAGAAAGAGAACCAGTGGAGAGGGAAGGAGAGAAGATGCAGGAAAGGCTGGATTGTTAAAGAGTCAGAAAGTGCAAATGTTTTCTCACGAGTGAGAAAAAACAGAACTATAGGGACGATTAACGAACGCTTTGTTTTATGAGTTTAGGAACAAATGCTGTCATTCCAAAAGAAAAGGGAGAAGCATTCAAGCTGAACATTCAAAGAAATAGACATATAATAGGTATATATTATATGTGTTGTAACAATTTGGAAATCGGCATGCAAATGTCCAAGGGCAAGTAGAGTTTTTAAAAACGGAGATCATATTACTCATTCTTTTACATGTTAAGATACATGAGCAAATACTTTGAGTTTGAGAGTGGGTCATGCGATCCACAAATTGCCCTTAGCCTGGGAAGTCCTTAACTTGGGATTGGAGACAGATGTTTCTGATGTGACTCATGTCGTTTTACCACTTTCTCATGGGCATGGGCTGAGCTGATTCCTCTGTCTCCTAGTGATGTCAGCATCTTATTTACACAGGGTCAGGCTGCCAAAGCCAAAATCAACCCTCAGTCACGTGGTGCAAGGGAAACAAGTACATAGGCAGGCTTCTCTTTAGGTAGACCAGAGCTGCCAGCTGTTAGGGGATTGGTTTTACTTTGGAGCGGAGGATGCATCTGTTTAGAAATGTGGGAGATGCCCCCAAAGGACAGAGTCAGAGTTGACGGGGACTCTCTTGATTCCCTCTCAAGGTGCTTCTTAAAAATAAACTGCTTGTATATGTTGTATGAGGAGAATAAATGTGGCTGTGTTGTTGTGTGCTGTTGAGTTGATGTGAACTCCTAGCTCTACTCTATGGGACAGAGTAGAGTGGATTTGAACCACTAACCTGTTGGTAGTAGCTGAGCACTTAACCATTGGACAGCCAGCATTCCTTAATGTAAACATAATACGTAGTCTGGTCTTTTCCCCCCAAATTAAAATGAAATGTTAATCTACATCTGCAAAAAGCAACTAGCACTTATTAAGGACCTGCTATAGATCTAGGATATGCATATGGTGCCCATAAAACTTCATGGCAACTCAGTGAACTAGGTATTACTCCTATTTTGCAAGATAGGCTAATTACCCATTGGTAACTAGTTGATTTTGACTCATAATGACCATATAGTAGAACTTCCCTGTAGGATGTGCAAGGCTGAACTAGTTATGGGAGCAGATTGCTACAATTTTCTCCTTCAGAGTAGCTGGTCAGTTGGAACCACTGATTAGTTAGCATCCGAAAACCACCGCAAAGCCAGGATAACTAGAAATCACAAAAACCAATAAGCTAGCAGCTGCTTCATGCCTAGAGTTCATTGTTGGGTGTTTCCCACCAAGGAGTTTTTTCAATCTCTGATGAGATGTCAACTTTTCTTTAACCACAAACATACACCGTCTGTTGAGTCCCTTTCCAGTAGAATATGGTAGACAGATGTGCTGTGGACTGCTCATTTCATGCTCCGCGGAGTACCCTTCAACCTCTCCTGGCTGCCCTCTAGAGCAACACTCTACAGAAACATCCCACTGAGAGTTCTACCAGATGTCACTGAAAGGTACTTCTCTTGCAGGTTTGCAAGGAGGACCCACCCCCTCCCCAGCCTGGGAGATCATGATGGCCTCTTAGTGCCATGAAGTCTTTGCAAGCAGGACTATTGCGCCAGCAGAGCTGTCCGAAAGTTATTGCATCCCAAACCCAGCGCAACCCCAAACCACTGCCATCAAGTTGACACTTCTAGGACAGAGTAGAAGTGTCCCTTTGGATTCCCAAGACTGTCCCAAGGAGCAGACAGTCTCATCTTTCTTCCATGGCTGGTGATTATGAGCTGCTTCCAAAAAGAACCCGACAAACAGTAAGTAAGTACGGATTTCTATTGCAATGACCTTTCCCTTTGGAGGAGTAGGTCCGGTCTATCTACCCATTTTCTTAACTCGCATAATGAATGTTCCTGGGCACTGTAACTCTGTGTGAGTCCCTGGGTGGTGGGAACAGGTAACACACACAACTGCTAACTACAAAAGGTTGGCAGTTTGCATTTACCCAAAGGCAACGAGAGGGGGAAAGCCTGGTGGTTGACTTCTGACAAACCAGCCACTGAAAGCCCTCTGGGACACAGTTTCACGCCGTGCACACGGGCTAGCCATAAGACAACAACTGGCGTTGCAACTATATATTTGCAAGTTTTACATTGATCTCCTGCGCAATGTGTTTTTTGTTTGCTTGTTTTCTTTCTGTTGGGCCCCTGAGGACCCAAACGACTCACAATAATCCCCTGAGTCTGTTTAGCCCCAAAGAGGCACGAGGGGAGGATTTGGGACCTGTCTCTGAAAGACTCCCTTCACCCATGCATTTTAAAAAAGGACACGTTGAAATGTTTTAAAACTAGTAAGATCTGTGGATGGGAAGGAAGATTCAGGACTTGCAGTAGAGAAGCACGCTGTGGTTTTCCAATCCAGCATCGCCCGAAACCAAACCAGGACACGGTCCCCACGCGCCTGCAGAGGCAGGGAGTTGCAGGCAGAGTTGGGTGGCCACTGGGGCGGCTGGATGAGTGGAGGCTGTGTTTGGGGGGTGGTCAACGAGGGATGAGGGAGGCAAATCCCTTCCCCCCACTCCGGGGGCTGTGTGTGCCACTCTTCCTCTATACAAAGACAATTTGCTTTTCATGTAGTAATGAAGAACAATGTTTGACAGACAAAGGAGCTTCTAGTTTATTATTGTGCTGTCTTTGAGCAGAGCTAGATGCTGGGAAAAATGGTAATTCACAGTATGAATGCTGCTTTTCCAGCCATACGGGTTGTAGCGGAGCATGTACATTGTATCTTGCAGATGGTACAATAGCGAACACTGTGAGAACGAGCAGAGAATGAGTTACAGCCTCCTCCCCCCCCTTCCCCTCCTCCCCCCCTTGCTAGCCAAGAAATCAGGAATTTCTTCACAATGATTTTTATTTATGTCTCTGTGTGTAGGGGTGATTCCTGAGCATTGTGAACTGCTGGATTCTGAGAAATGATTTTCAATCGTTGGGTTTTTGAATCTATGTAGGGAATTCTACAACGACGTTCTTAGAACACCTGTGTTTTCCTGCTCTTCAGCCCCTGCCCTCCCTAACCGGTAAACCAATACAAGGCACAGGTGGTGTCTCATTAACTTATTGCATGTCAATAAGAACATATTGCACTATTTCTTCTCTTAACTATATAATCACTGAAATGCGATGGCACGGATGAGTGTAGCACACTGCGGGAGGGCGAACACCTCGTCTTTTGTGGGTCCCCAAACACTGGAGGGATGTGCAGGCTAGGTGAATTGCTTTCCATGCAAGTGATAGGAATGGGTCTTCTCACGTCTTCGCTGGCTCAGGATGTGCAGTGGATAGAAGCAGAGAAAGTCAAGGCCAACTTTCTCACGGAGCTGCGGGAACTGGACGCGCTCAGATGAGGAGCCGTCTCAAACCAGCAGACTCGTGTATTTGAATTCCACGTCCCGATAGTCTTAGCAATGATTTCCAGAGAGCCACAGGGATTTGCTTTGGAAACAATGTTGGGAAAAGAGCGCATGTGTATGGGAATGTTTTTAGCGTTCTAAATCCAAACAGGAAAATGTCCGAGCATGCCAACGTAGCAGTCCACGGTGCAACGCGCTCGATTCGTGCCGGATGGCAAGGCTGTTTCTAAAAGTCCGGTTGAGATATTATTTTTATGTTTTTAATTTATTGAGGCAAAGCCAGATTTGTTCAATTAAGATGATACACTTCAAGGTTAACTACCATTTGCTGTTCATTTAGGCAAGCTATTGTACAGTTATGTAAATGTCATGAACGGAGACACTACTTGAGTGTCTTAATTACAAGCAAGGAAAAGTGTCATTTAAATTTGAATCAAGTGAGTAGCTGCCTGTATTTCCTGTGGATTTTCTGACTTCTGAAAAATCTCAGGGACTGTCTGTCCTCTGTCCCAAGGCTTTCCTTCTTCCGGCGAAAGACAAGAACATCATAAGGCGTAATGCAGTCATCGCCAAAGTACGCTGCCCTTCTGATCACAGTGACTGCTGCACAGCGCAGTATCTGAGGGCTGGAACAGGGTGCCCGTCCTTGCCCCCAGGGGGCCACTCACTGAGTGTCGCCTAGATAGTGTCTCTCACCATTCAGAATGATTCCATTTTATAGTAGGGGTGTGTGTGTGTGTGTGTGTGTGTGATTTTCTATTCTCGTCATTTGCTCAAATTCAGTATCTATATATAGTTTGTATAATATATATATATATATAGTTTGTATACACACATAAGTATTTTAGGGCCCTCTTTTCTGCACTCCCTATTATATTTAGTGCCCTCTTGTCTGCTCTCCCTATTATAAAGCAAACCCTGGGATGTGCTTACTTTGCACCACTGCCTTATGTCTGCAGAGGAAACATTCATTTTTGATTTAGAACTGTCCCGGCCATGGCTATGCTTAGCAAAAGTGACCCGTGACCTGATGCTCCTCTATGTTCTGTGAAATAACTCCCTGTGCATCCTGGATCTAACTGACCCCACCCCCCCAAAAAAAAATTGTCTCTGTGTTTGGATGGTTCTGTGTGTTTAAAAAAAGCTTTAGCAACAAATCTGTCTCTAATCATGAAGAAGGGAAGAAGGATTCACAAGAGTTCATGAAAACCACACCTCTGTTTTCCCAGCAAGTCCCCAGCTCCTGTGTGGAGGAGTCCATAGGGTTGCAGC